AGGTCAGGACTCTGTGCAGGCCAGTCAAGTTCCTCCACCCCAAACTGGCTCCTTCATGTCTTTATGGACTTTGCTTTGTGCACTGGTGTGCAGTCATGTTGGGACAGGAAGGGGCCATCCCCAAACTCTTCCCACAAAGTTGGGAGCATGAAATTGTCCAAAATGTCTTGGTATGCTGACATCTTGAGAGTTCCCTTCACTGGAACTAGGGGGCCAAGCCCAACCCCACATCATAATCTCCCTCCACCAAATTTTACTCTTGGCATAATGCAGTCAGGCAAGTACCGTTCTGGCAACCGACAAACCCCGACATGTCCATTGGATTGCTAGACAGAGAAGCGTGATTTGTCACTCCAGAGAACACGAGTCCAGTGGCGGCGTGCTTTACACCACGGCATCTGCCGCTTTGCATTGCACTTGGTGATGTAAGGCTTGGATGCAGCTGCTCGGCCATGGAAACCCATTCTATGAAGCTCTCTATGCACTGTTGTTGTGCTAATCTGAAGGCCACACCAAGTTTGGAGGTCTTTAGCTATTGACTCTGCAGACAGTTGGTGACTTCTGCGCACTGTACGCTTCAGCATGCGCTGACCCTGCTCTGTCATGTGACGTGGCCTACCACTTGGTGGCTGAGTTGCTGTTGTTCCCAGTTGCTTCCACTTTGTTATAATCCCACTAACAGTTGAGCGTGGAATATTTAGTAGCCAGGAAATGTCACGGATGGACTTATTGCACAGGTGACAACCTATCACGGGACCACGCTTGGGCATAGAGATTATTTTAGTAAAGATAGCCTCAGCTAATCTCTGTGGTCTAGGAGTACTGGAGTGACGTCATGACGGCACTTCCATTTACGACCCAAGGTATACAATGTCGGGTTTTTTTCAATAGCACTAGATCAGTGGGGTTTTTTTTAACTAGTGTTTTGCATTGTAGAGGAGACCACTGGGTGAGAACTGACTAACTGCCACTGACATCTCCAGTGACACTAATACAGTGATCAGTGCTAATAAAAAGCACTGACACTGTTCTAATGACACTGGGCAGGAAGGAGTTAACATATGGGGCGATCAAAGGGTTAACTGTGTGCTGTGCTAGCTTTTTAACTCAGATCTCTCTCCTGGTAGTTGGTCCACTGATCGCCAAGTTCCAGCCTTGAATCGCTGGCTGGGACCCAGTGATTGACATCTACAGTAGCCAATGGCAGTTCAAGTAGGACAGCACATGCGCACTCCGGAAATGCATAATCACATATATGTAAATATGTGCAGAGCAGCCTCTCACAGGGATCACAGGACTCCCCCTGACAAGGCTTTCATCCGGTATTCTCTCCAGAAGGAAGGCTGCATCTTTGTTCAGACATCATCCAGGGTCATCATTCACTTCCAGGACAATGATACCAGTTCAAAAATGACAGTCATAAAAATCCTGGTACCTGTGCTGTCCCAGGCTGCATTCACAAATGTTTGACACAGATCAGCCTCTACTGCAGCCTCACACATTCTGACATTACAAAGGTACAATGTTGCAGTTTGCTCACTGGGGGGAAGAGACTGAAGAAATGCTTCCTCCTGCCTGGAGCAGACTGATGGCATCATCTCAGTCATTGAACTAGAGCTCAACGATGGCTTTTAATGATACCAGGAAAACCTTTTGGAAATGTCGCTGTATGTTTGGTGATTAGTTAAATAGAGAACATGAACAGTTTTTAAAGTATAATTAAAGTCATTGGAAAGCTTTTTTTTTGTATTATTAAAACAACAAACATGTTATACTTACCTGCTCTGTTCAATGGTTTTGCACAAAGCGGCCCTGAACCCCCCTTTTTTGGAGTCCCCCATCTGCGCACCAACCGCCCCCTCACACTGTGTGCCCCCATTCCCACTCTGTGTGCCCACACCCCCGCTCTCTGCTCACAGGTTTTGACTGACTGCAGCAGGAGCCAATGGCTTTCACAGCTCTCACCAAAGCCTGTGAAAATGGGGGGAGGGGAAAAGAGCTGAAGAAGATGGGCTCAGCTAAGTATTTGTTTGGGGGGGACCTACTATTAAAAGTTTTTTTTTTTTACCTTAATGCAGAGAAGCATTAAGGGAAAAAAAAAAACAACCTTTTACCTTTACAACCAGTTTAAAGCCATTTCATTAGTTTTAGATAAAATAGAGAGGGATTAGAACACCTGTAAGGTTTTTATTGCTGTCTGTGTCCCCCATATGGCAGATTCACCCTTTCTATTTGTCTTGTTTACCATTATCACGGAAAGTGAAATTTGAGGAAAATCCCAAATTTTGGGTTGTCACCAAATCAGGAGTACAGGAGAATTCTTCCAATGGGAACATTAGTCCTGGTGGTCCTGGTGATTTCTTTACATTGGAGAGATTTCTTTTCACTTCCCTTTTGGCTCTAGGACAGGAAGTGAAGGGAAATCTACCCAATGGGACGCAAAAATAGCAAAAAAAACAACAAACATGTTAGATGTACCTGCTCTGTGCAATGATTTTGCACAGAGTGGCCCTGAACCCCCCCTTTTTTGGAGTCCCCCATCTGTGCTCCAACCCCCCCCCCCCCCCCCCCCACATACACACACACACTGTCACACTGTGTGCCCCCACCCCCGCTCTCTGTTCACAGGTTTTGACTGACAGTAGCAGGAGCCAATGGCTTTCACTGCTCTCGTCAAAACCTATGAAAATGGGGGGAGGGGAGAAGAGCTGAAGAAAATGGGCTCAGCTAAGTATTTGATTGGGGGATTTCTTTTCACTTCCCTTTTGGCTCTGGGACAGGAAGTGAAGGAAAATCTCCCCCAATGGGACACAAAAATAGAAAAATGTTTTTTAGAGGCAAAAAATGTAATAGAAAAAAATGTAGGTGGTTGGTTGCTGTATTCATTAGATCAGGGGTAGGCAGCCTTTGAGAGTTGGAGATCTACTTGTACAACATGAAACAGATCAAAGATCACTGGAGTTCAGCGCCATTTTAAAAAAAAATAATAACTAGCAAGTCAAAATAGCAAGGAAAATATAGAAAAATATAATAAAACAGATGTCACTGTAAAAATACAAACTTAGCCTACATTAAAAATGGACAGTGTCAGTCAGTAGGGCAGTGGACAGTGTCAGTAGGGCAGAGGTTGTTGTCAGTAGAGCAGTGGATAGTGTCATTAGGGCAGAAGTTGGTGTCAGTAGGGTATTGGATTGTGTCAGTAGACAGTGCATGGTGTCAGTCAGTAGGGAAGTGGATGGTGTCAGTAGGGCAGAGGTTGGTGTCAGTAGGGTATTGGATGGTGTCAGTAGACAGTGGATGGTGTCAGTCAGCAGGGTAGTGAATGGTGTCAGTAGGGCAGAGGATGGTGTCAGTGTGGATGGTGTTAGTCAGCAGGGTAGTGGATTGTGTCAGTAGGGCAGAGGTTGGTGTCAGTCAACAGAGCAGTGGATGGTGTCAGTAGATCAGTGGACAGTGTCAGTAGGACAGAGGTTGGTGTCAGTAGGGCAGTGGTTGGTGTCAGTAGTTTTTATTTTTACATTTTTATTTTTTTATATTATTCACAGTTTTTTTAGGGGCCCTGTTGATAGGGGAGCACTTGGAGAAAGGGCCAGGCAACAGAACAAAGGAGGAACAAGGTCGGGAGGGGCAGTGAGGGAAGCATTTACTAAAACCGATCCCCTGGATTTTCCAGTGTGTTTGTACAAAGAAATGATAAACACTTTGGTGTTGATTTACTAAAACTGGAGAGTGCAAAATCTGGTGCAGCTGTGTATAGAAACCAATCAGCTTCCAGGTTTTATTGTCAAAGCTGAAGTTAGAAGCTGATTGGTTACCATGTACAGTTGCACCAGATTCTGCTTGCTCCAGTTTTTAGGCCAAAGTGTATTCTGTTACACGTCTTTGTTTAAAAAAAAAAAATCCTAATTAAATAAATGAAAAAAGACCAGCAATTTAAAAAAAAACAATATTTTGTTCTTTCTGTTATATATTATATTGCATTAAAAAAAGGAAAATCAAATTCCTGCATAAATTTAGGCTAAACTGTATTCTGCTACATGTCTCTGGTAAAAAAAAAAAAAATCACAATTTATTATATAAATGAAAAAAGACCGAAAATATTGAAACCCCCCCCCATCCTCCCCTATATTTTCTGCTTTCTGTTATAAAACATATGCAATAAAAAAAATAAGAAAATCAAATTGCTTCATAAATTTAGGCCAAAGTGTATTCTGCTACATGTCTTTGTTAAAACAAAAATCCCAATTTATTATATAAATGAAAAAAGACTGAACATTAAAAAAAAACAATATTTCTACTTTCTGTTATAAAACATATTCAATAAAAATAAATTAAAACATCTAATTTCTCCATAAACTTAGGCCAAAGTGTATTCTACTACATGTCTTTGGTAAGAAAAAAATCCCAATTTATTATATACCGTATTTTTCGCTCCATAAGACGCACTTTTTTCCCCCAAAAAAAGGGGGGGAAATGTCAGTGCGTCTTATGGAGCGAATATGGAGCAGCCGGTCCGGTATTTCCACCGCCGCCGTGTCAGAATACCGGGTCGGCCGCTCAGCTCTGCAGCGGGACCTTACCTGTTCCTCGGTCCAGCGCTGCACAGTCTTCCCGCACCGGCTTCTTTAGTGTAGAATCTCGGCTTCATAGCCGGGTGCCCAGTGCGCATGCGTGAGAAGCGCTGCACTTTGTGAATGGTACGGTGTCTTCTGGGACACATAACAGGTCCCAGAAGGCGTCGGACCAATCACAAAGCGCAATGCTTCTCGTGCATGCGCACTGGGCACCCGGCTGTCAGCCTGTTGCCCACACTAAAGGGAGGACAACTCCGCAGAAGTGGGAGCGGGTACCTGTCAAATTCAGGTACCCGCTCCCCCTCCCTTCCCAAAGGTCAGCAGTCTCTTCGTCATCCCCTGTACTGTCTGCAGTCTCTGGTCACCCCCTGTACTGTCCGCAGTCTCTGGTCATCCTTGTACTGTCTGCAGTCTCTTAGTCATGTCCTGTACTGTCTGCAGTCTCTGGTCATCCCCTGTACTGTCTGCAGTCTCTGGTCATTCCCTGCACTGTCTGCAGTCTCTGGTCATCCCCTGTACTGTCTGCAGTCTCTGGTCATCCCCTGTACTGTCCGCAGTCTCTGGTCATCCCCTGTACTGTCCGCAGTCTCTGGTCATCCCCTATACTGTCCGCAGTCTCTGGTCATCTCCTGTACTGTGTCCGCAGTCTCTGGTCAAACTTCTGTACTGTGTTCGTAGTCTCTGGTCATCTCTTGTACTGTGTCCGCAGTCTCTGGTCAAACTTCTGTACTGTGTCCGCAGTCTCTCGTCATCTCCTGTACTATGTCCGCAGTCTCTGGTCATCTCCTGTACTATGTCCGCAGTCTCTGGTCATCCCCTGTACTGTGTCCGCAGTCTCTGGTCATCTCTTGTATTATGTCTGCAGTCTCTGGTCATCTCTTGTATTATGTCTGCAGTCTCTGGTCATCTCCTGTACTATGTCTGCAGTCTCTGGTCATTTTCTGTACTGTGTCCGCAGTCTCTGGTCATCTCCTGTACTATGTCCGCAGTCTCTGGTCATCTCCTGAACTATGTCTGCAGTCTCTGGTCATCTCCTGTACTATGTCTGCAGTCTCTGGTCATCTCCTGTACTATGTCCGCAGTCTCTGGTCATCTCCTGAACTATGTCTGCAGTCTCTGGTCATCTCCTGTACTATGTCCGCAGTCTCTGGTCATCTCCTGTACTATGTCCGCAGTCTCTGGTCATCTCCTGAACTATGTCTGCAGTCTCTGGTCATCTCCTGTACTATGTCCGCAGTCTCTGGTCATCTCCTGTACTATGTCCACAGTCTCTGGTCATCTCCTGAACTATGTCTGCAGTCTCTGGTCATCCCTGTACTATGTCCGCAGTCTCTGGTCATCTCTGTACTATGTCTGCAGTCTCTGGTCATCTCCTGTACTATGTCTGCAGTCTCTGGTCATTTTCTGTACTGTGTCCGCAGTCTCTGGTCATCTCCTGTACTATGTCCGCAGTCTCTGGTCATCTCCTGAACTATGTCTGCAGTCTCTGGTCATCTCCTGTACTATGTCCGCAGTCTCTGGTCATCTCCTGTACTGTGTCTCTGGTCATCTCTGTACAGTCTCTGGTCATCTCCTGTACTATGTCTGCAGTCTCTGGTCATCTCCTGTCTATGTCTGCAGTCTCTGGTCATCTCCTGTACTATGTCCGCAGTCTCTGGTCATCTCCTGTACTATGTCCGCAATCTCTGTCATCTCCTGAACTATGTCTGCAGTCTCTGGTCATCTCCTGTACTATGTCTGCAGTCCATTGGTTCAGAATATTTTTTTTTCTTGTTTTCTGCCTCTAAAACCTAGGTGCGTCTTATGGTCAGGTGCGTCTTATGGAGTGAAAAATACGGTAAATGAAAAAAGGCTGAACATTTTGAAAAACAAAAAAGATATTTTCTACTTTCTGTTATAAAACATATCCAATAAAAAAAAAAAAAAAATCAAATTTATTCATAGAATTAGAAATTTATTTTTCAGTCCCTATACGGCCTTAAAAAAATTTCTAGCATTTAATATCACTGACAGTTAGACTATAGAAGACTTCCTTATATATTTTTTATGAAGATGCTTTAACTCCTTTAGTGCTTGAGCTTGCATGTCCTCTTCTTTCTATGGCATGCTTTGCTATAATTGTACGTGAAGCAGCAATGGGTCGGAAATATTCTAAACATGGAGATTTATCTAAAGCTCTGCTTTGTACAAGGCTGAGTTTGTCTCTTCTCCAGCAACCAGCGGGGAGCCTCCTTTACTCCAGTCCCTCAAAGCAGAAGTGAGTCTTTGAAAGGCTTGAGGCAAGGTCTCAGACCAGACTCCGTGCCGCTCCGACTCCTCTTCTCCCCGCCGCACTGCACACAGATGAGAAAGTAAGATGACAGGAGCTTCTAAACAAACTTTTAGCTGCTGTGTCCTGTCACTGACTGTCAGTACACAGGGACAGAACCTTCCTGAATTTTCAAGATGACTTTAGCATATATTTTTTGAAAGCTTGCCGAGTTCTGTCTCTACTTGCCTGAGGCGGTGAGCACCTACGGCATTAACCCACGTGACCTTTTCTGTACACAGGAAAAGTTCTGTAGATGATAAGATACTGACTGAATATTTCTTGGCCTATTGCCATATCCAAAGAGATGGAGAAAATCTCATACAAGGTTTAACCTCTTCAGACCTGCTTGTAGGTAGGTTGCCTACAGTGTGATTTTTTTCTTTGTATGAGCCCGGTAGTTTAGCTGCCCAGGCTGGGGTAAGGGTTAACTTCCAGCTCCTCTTGTTCCCAGGCTTTTTTTCCTGTGATATATAAATAGAGAGAAGGTCCAGTTCAGGGGCCTGGAGAGCTTGAGGAAGAGGAAACACACCAGTACGTGGAATTTGGGAGCTCTAGAACCAGCATGTAATCCGCACAAAATACCAGTGGACACTACCAGTCATGAGAACTCAGAAGCCATGGACTTACACCTGAAGGTATGCCTGGTCAGCCACCTCTCTTAGTCAGTTTAGGGTCAGGACTTTGTTATACCATGAGAAGTTGCAGTAAAGTTATCAAACTGTTTCAAGCCCGCCCTGAAGTTTTTATAAAGGGGTGCATTCTTACAAATGAATGGACAGGGCCAGCAAAGCACACAATGGGTATGAAGCAAGGCCACTACAAAAATGGTTAACTCAACAAAACACGTGGAGGAGGAATGAAGTTGTTGTGGTTAACCAGTACTGGCATAAACCAGCACCCTGTCATGAAGCGTGGTATCCGGCATGCCAGAGGGTTCAGTGATCTGGTTTCCTCCACAGCGGTTGATTCTCCAAATGTATTAGGTCTGAACTTGCGTTACGGAGACCCACAGCCTAGCCCCATGGTATGGGAGAGCTGAAGGAATTAAGTAAGCACAAGTACAAAGTCCACATCATGTGCTCGTTGGGTCCCCATTCTGTCACTGGGAGTAAGGCTTGGTACACATCATTGTTTTTTTTCATTCAACCCAACAGGTTGAATGAAAAAAAAGTAGACGCTCGGAAGGAGCTCAGTGTACTATCTATCTGATGTTAGTGCAGCGATATCCCAGCTTAGCTATTGTGTTCTGACAGGGGTACCGCACCCCCACCAGAACACAACAATCAGTGCTGGCAGCCATTGGCACTGATCTGATGCTAATGGAATGCTGGTTTTCCAACATGTCGGTTCTGCAGAAGCCGGCCTTTCAGCTGGCTTCTGTTGGACAGGCGGGCGTACACATGGGCCTAATGTTGGCTGGTTTTCTTTTGAACCAGTCGATACCAGACCATATTCGACCTGTGTATACGGGGCTTAAGGTGCCAGATGGCTTAAGGTGGCAGAGGTGCATAGACTTAGCAGTGTCATTCCTAAATGCAACATATTAAACGTAATGCATGTAGTAAAACCAGATGGAATGCTTTACAGAAGAACTCTGTATTTCACATACGCCTCATCTCTAAGTCAGGGTATTGCAATAATGTTTGACTTCCACATAAACGCGGTCCTCAACTGGTCCTTAGCATTCTTAAGCGTGTGCACAGTGAAAGGTACCCGCACGTGCACAGCGAGTGCGCAGCATATATGTGTCGGCCGGCGGCCAAGCCTCAATTTGCATCGTTTCCGAGGTTCTGTGCTGAGAATGCACCCACTTGTTCAGTCTTGAAGGAAAGGAAAGGGGAGACATGACTGGAATGTTTAAATATGTTAAAGGGGGGGGATAAGGTTCAGGAGGCCAGGATTATCAATATGAAGTTAAGATCAAGAACACGGGGACATGACCTTAAGCCAGCAGGAGGAAACTAACCTTGGAAAGTATTTTAATAGAAGAGTAATTGATTCTTGGAATAGACTTCCAGCAGGGTTAGTCAACAGTAAGTGGATTCCATTATGTTTGGGATAAACATGATTCTATACTGAAAGTGTAAAATGGTGAAGGAAAAAAAAAAATACAGTGTATATATATATATATATATATATATATATATATATATACACACCACCAATCAGCCATAGCTTTATGTCCACCCACTTAATATTGAGTTAGTCCCCCTTTTGCCACCAAAGCAGACCCTTTTTCTGCCAAACAGTCCTGACCCATCATAGCTTGGACGCCACCAGACCTCTGAAGCTATGCTGTGGTATCTGACACTAAGCCGTTAGTAGCAGATCCTTTAAGTCCTGTAAGTCTTGTAAGTTGCAAGGTGGGGCCTCCATGGATCAGATATGTTTTTTTCCAGCACATCCCACACTTGCTCAATTGGATTGAGATCTGGAAAATTCGGAGGCCTTAGACTTGTTGTGTTCCTCAAACCATTCTTGAACCATTTTTGCAGTGTAGCAGGGCACATTATCCTGCTGAAAGAGGCCACTGCCATCAGGGAATACGGTTTCCATGAAGAGGTGTACTTGGTCACCAACAATGTTTAGGTAGGTGGTATGTGTCAAGTGACACCCATATGAATAGCAAGACCCAAGGTTTCCCAGCAGAACACACTGCAAAAGAAAAGACAAAAAGATTAAAACAGTATTGTATTTATTTTTAAAACATAACTGCTTATTTAGCACACCAAACCTCATTCAGTTGGGGTTTACATCAACTTAACATTTGGGTTCACACCAGTGCGACTTCAGGTGCGATATACAATTTACAAATCACACCTGAGGTTGCATCTAATGCAGGGATGGGCAACTGTGGCCCTCCAGCTGTTGGTGAACTACAAGTCCCATCACGCCTCTGCCTTTGGGAGTCCTGCTTGTAACTGGCAGTTTTGCAGTGCCTCATGGGACTTGTAGTGCTACAACAGCTGGAGGGCCACAGTTGCCCACCCCTGATCTAATGTATTTCTATGGCATTGTCCTAATCAGTGTGATTTGAAGTAGCGCAATTTCAAAAATAATTCCTGTACTACTTTTTTCTGATTTCATTGCGACTTGCATTGGCTTCTGTTAAATGAAGTTGCCAGCCGCCATGAAATCGGAGGTACAAATCACACTGATCTGCAGCTTTAAAATTGCGCTACTTCAAGTGTAAAGTGGTAATAAATGCAAAACAAAAACTGTATTATATAGCAACTCACCAATCATTAGATGTGGTGGCTGCATTGATTCCCCCCCCCCCCTCTGTTTTCACCTGGTGATCTGGCCAGTAACACACTGCCTGTATTAGTGGAACAAAACTCTGGAGGAATGAGCACAGGAGGCACAGCAAAATGTGACAGGGGGAGAGCGGAGAGAATACCCGGCCCGCTATCACACCAGGGGGGGTATCGGGAGGAGGAGGCCGCAGATGGTGGAAAATGTTACATGTTCTACCCTAAATGGGTGGAACATG